AGCAAGGCATCACTGCTTCCCGCCTCAATGTACTTACTGTGACTGAGAATATAGTTGGATCCTACCAGGCCCAGAAATCAGAACAAAGGAAATTAAAAGTTTTTGTCGACTGCAGGTCAGCACTGGGTATATGAATATCCTTCACTTTCGAAAGCTTAGTCCATCTCTACATCAGTCTATAGGTGCCTGAATGGAGAACAAATAGTCTTATTTCAACCAATGGGTTGAAGAAATGAAAGGAATAAGAGGTATACATTTCCACCTTTTTTGTTATCAAAATGTAGATGCATCAGTGACTTTGTGTCCAAGATTAGAAAAAACTGTGACAAAACAAATCTTAAATGTCCACAAATATTAAAAACTATGTCAGCAAAGGGAGAGAGGTTGTTACAACTTCCATCTATGATTTTAAGCAGGTTCTTGGGTATGAAAATCCAGCCAAGTGTGGCAAAAATTAAAAAGAATGTGAGGATTGTTTTAGGTAAGCTCTTACATCTTTATAGTCTTTACTAAGTTTTGGCATGCAGGTCCTTCATGTTGCTCCCTTGGTATCCAATGAGCATTCATTTTAGTCTCCCATCCTTTCAAATTCTCATTCTATGCACTCAGCACCAGCTTTCTTTGTGGTGTAGCAAGTTCCAAAATCACATATGCTTTCTCTATAATATTTAAGCAACACATTCTTTCTATTAACTGATCTCAACTAAGTATAAAAAAAAATAGAGCACATCAAGCAAAACTATATCTTTAATGGTGAAATTTAGGAAGCACAAAACAGAGAAGTTGAGCATTTCAGGCAATCTTAGGACATAAACTGGGGTTACAATGATCTTTCCAATGACTCTTATGGCTTATAGACTAAGTGATCACTGAAAGGCTAACCACAAAAAATAAATCAGCAAACTTTTACTAAGGTCCTAAAGTAGGTCAATCACTATGCTAGGGGGTAGGGATTCAAAGATAGATGGAAAAACAGTCCTTAACTTCAGCCTTTTGAATAGGTGGGACAAAAGGACAGAGATGGTAAGTAGAATGCTGTATATAAGGAAAGAAGGGAGGTTAGGTGTTGCAGTGGATGGAGCACTGTGCTGGGAATCAGGAAGAATCATCTTTGTGAGTTCAAATACGATTTCAGACACTTACTATCTCTGTGGCCCTGGGCAAGTCACTTACCCCTATTTGCCTCAGTTCCTCATCTGTAAAATGAGCTGGAGATGTAAATCTTAAATCACTCCAGTGGTTTGCCAAGAAAACCCCAAATAGGGTCATGCAGAGTCAAATATGATTGAAACGACCGAACAACAATATGAAGAAAAGCAAGAAGGTTATGTTAGCTAGACACTAGATTGGATGAAGGTAGAGAAGATGTATGTGCACTATGGCTGGAAATAAGGATTGGGTTCTCTTTCAGAAAGCATTTAAAAATCAAAAATAAGAGTTTCCATTTGATTCTATGAGAAATAGTGAGCACTCTGAGGTTTAATGAGTGGGGGAATGACATGCTCAATTTTGTGTTTTAGGAAAGCCAGTTTGGCAGAAATCTGATGAATGGATTAAAGAGGGGAGAGACTTTGGACAGGGACACCAATTAGAAGATACTGTACTATTCTAGATAGTAAGTGACAAGGGTCAGAACTAGAGTGTTGGCTGAGTAAATGAAGTTAAAAGGACAAATGTAGGAGACATTGTGGTGATAGAAAGAACACTCTGTGAAAACTGATTAAATGTGGGGACAAAGATAAGAGTGACATGAAAAGGATAGCAGTGAAGCTATGAATCTGGTGACTGCAAGGATGATAGTACTCTTAAAGAAGTAAGAAAGTTGATAACCAGGGGGTCTGTGGAAAATGAGGAAGATAATCGGTGGGTTTGGGACATGCTGAGTTTGAGATAGCTAAAGGATATCCACTTTGGAATGTCCAATATATGACACAATTCCAAAGCTTAAGAGAGAAAGACTAGGGCAGGAAATATAGCAATGGGACTCATCATCGTAATGGGAACATGAAAAAACCCATGTGAAATAATATGGTCACTGAGAGAACATGAAAGGAAAGAACAGTAGAAAGCCTAAATCACAAGCTTGGCATAAACATAGTTAGAGGGCATGATGGGACAGTGATGTTGCAGCAAGAGAAATTAAGAATTAGTTATCAGATATTAGGACAACCAAGAGAGAGCAGAGTAACAAAAATCCAGAGAGGAAACACTATAAAAGAATGAGAGAGTGCTTAAGAGTGTCAAATACCACACAGATGTCAAGAAGAATGAGTTTTTAGAAAAATCTATCAGATATACATAAAAATAAATTATTGTTGACCTTGAAAATGATAATTTCAGTTGACTCATGAGATCATAAGTCAGATTATGTGGGGTTTATAAGAATGAATGAAGATACAGTGGATATAAGAAATAAGGAGAGCAGTTTTCTAAGACTTTTACTGGGTAGAGAAATATTATAGAGACTATTTAAGTGTTTTTAAGGAAAAGGGAAATGTTTGTTCCCAAAAAAGGAATGAGCAGTAAGAGAAAGACCGAATATTAGAGGTAGAGAAGAGGCTGATAATAGAGGAAAAACCTTAAAAATGGGATGGAATCAAGGGTATACACATAGAGGATTTTATTCTCCCAGGAGTAGGGCTCCTTTAAATCTTGATCAGAGATTAGGGTAAAGCAGGAGAGAATGGGGTACAATGTCAATTAATTGTGAGTTGAAAAGAAGGGGGAAACAACACTCAACCATAATTGTCTCTATTTTCTAAATGAAGTATGATATGAAGTCTTCACTTATGCAAATATTTGGGAGGGAAGGTCTGGGAGATATAAGGAGAGAAGATAAGTATAGAAGCAGCCAAGGCAAGGAATGGGACATAAAAATCAATGTGAAAGGAACAAAAGTACTGTCTTGCTGAAATGAGGACCAGTTGCAATTAAATGGAATTAATTGGTAATGAATCCAGTCAGTATAGTTTTGTTACTTTGTCCAGCTCTATCCAGCAGTACATGAGCATAATTATAAGAGGTGGGTGACTAAAGTAACCAAGGATTACGGTTTAGCAAGTTGTAATCTTCAGTAAGATAACGCAGCAAGTAATTCAAGAGGAGAGATGAATATGCAGTTAAACTGGCTAATTACAGGGATACAATTAGGATGGGAAGAAAGTAAAATCAGATTAAGCCGGATTGCCAAGCAAATTGTAGAATGGTACTGAAACTGGAGGTCCGAATAAAAACAAAGAATAGGCTTAAGAAGAATAATTCAAATAGGCATTTTAGTTAAAGTACAAGAACTTTGATTGAAATTATACCTCTTGAAATCAATATTTGAATTCCAAAAGGTCTTTATATGAAGAAAATAGACATTCCCTCTTCCATGCCTTGCTCATCACTGCTTCTGTGTTTGTGCTCATAACATACATGGAATATCTCCCCTTGCAGCCTTGATTTTTATGCCTTTTGAAATCCAACCCAAATTCTAAAAACTTTCCTACCAATTACATTAAATTTGAAGTTTTACCTTGATCTTGCCAGTCAGAAATAAGCTCTCTGTCTCACATCTCTCTGAGCTCTTTGTTCTCCTCCCATGCACTTATCCCATTCTACTTTGAATTATAGTCATTTACATATATTACATGTTCCCCCGATAGACGGGAAACATCTTGAGGCCTAGAGATGATTCATTTTTTTAAACTAGGCAGGTTTAGAATAGAGGCTTATACAGAGAGAGGCCTTGATAAATGTTTTGTCAAATGTTATGGTTGATGCATCCTTTTAAATTCATTTGCCTCATGCCCAAATGCAAAGGTCTACTTATACCTTACTTTATAGGCATAAATAATAGGTCTAAGAGGTATAGTTTGGGGAAAAAATTTATGAGTATATAAGGATTTGTTTGAGTCCCAGAAGTGTTTTAACCAGGGCAAAATGAATCAAATTCTAAAGTGTTGTTTTGGGGGTTGAAGGAATAGTTTTCCATAACGTATATTCTTCGCACCAGAAGAGATTCAACGCAGAAGAGAATGCTTTGGGAGTTATTTTTCAACATGAGGATAGATTTGCATTTCAACATGACTGGTCTGGGTTGGTTGTAGCCAATGGAGAGTGTGAAATTGAAAAGGCCATGAGGAAGTCTAATCTGTGACACTACATTCACCTGCATAACATGTCTAATCTATTAGACTGTATTGTCAAAATGTCTTGGATAGTGAACCAGGGCAGTGGACATCTTTTAAAATTATGAGATAATCTACATAACTCTCAGTTTTAAAGGATGGTAAGGCAATCATTTGTTTATGAACAGCATATTAAGGTATGCCTCAGCAAAGGAACCTAGAGGAGCTTTCAAGACAACCTGAAGAGCAAGAAACCTGGATTAACATCTTGGTTCTGACATTTCTTCAATAATGACTGAAAAGTCACTTAACTTTTCTGAGCTCCAGTGTCTTCTGCATAAATTAGTAAAACACTTTTAGGATAGTCTACATAAAAAGAGATCTTATAACGAAAGTACTTCATGATAACGAACATCATTCACTGAGAGAGATACAGCTGTTGTTAACAACTTTTTCAAGGTAAGGATATTGTTCAGAGATTCCTAGAAAATCTGGGATATAGAAGAGCCTTAAAAATCATCTACTTCAGGGATTCTTAGCCCATTTTTGCTTCATGTTTCCCGTTACAATCTGAGAAAGACCATGGACAAATTTATGAGAATCATTTTACTAAAAGGCATTAAAATATGTAAGATTAAAATGGAAAAAAAACTACAGAGAAATACATTTGTAAGAATATTTTAGGTCCATGAATTTCAAGTTTAAATCCTCTGAACTAGCTCCAACATTTCCTTTTAAAAATAGGAAAATTAAGGCAAAAAGGACAGTCATTTTTGCAAGGTCACACAGTGAGCCAGAACCAAAGTTACCTGAGATGTTCTTCTTATCATTTTGCATCTGTTTCTTTTCTCCATGCAAGCAGTAGAGAAAATCCTCTACCCCTAGAACATGGCCAATCTCACCATGGTGACAGGATTCCTCCTCATGGGCTTTTCCAACATCTGGGAGCTACAGGTCTTACATGCAGTCTTCTTCTTGCTGACCTACCTAGTGGCTCTAATGGGTAATATACTTATTTTCACCCTCGTCTCTCTTGATGGGAAACTCCATACTCCCATGTACTTCTTCCTAAAGAACCTGTCCTTTTTAGACCTCTGCCTTATTTCCACCACAGTCCCCAAATCAATTGCTAACTCTCTAACTCGCACCTGCTACATCTCTTTTTGGGGGTGTCTCTCACAACTCTTTTTAATGGTGTTATTTGTAGCATCAGAGCTTTTTCTCCTCACAGTGATGTCCTATGACCGCTATGTGGCCATTTATCAGCCCCTTCACTATGAGCTCATCATGACTAGAGGGGCTTGTGTGAAGATGGCAGCTGCTTCCTGGCTCACTGGAGGCTTGTTTGGGGCCCTGTACTCAACCAGTGTATTCACTTTGCCCTTCTGTGGCTCCAAGGAGATCCACCAGTTCTTCTGTGCTGTCCCTCCCTTGCTCAAGATCTCCTGCTCTGAAACACACCTTGCACTTGATGCCACTGTGGCTTTTGGGATTGGTATTTATCCCACGTATTTATCTTCCAAAACCACAGTTCATGTTCAGATATCTAAAAATGTAGTTGAAAAGAGCCATGGTTTCCATGCATTCACTCAAGGTAACCATACATAGCTGACATAAGGAAGCATTTTTTTCATTGCACTGAAAATAGGACTAGTAAAAGAACTCATAGTAGGTCACAGGTAATAGATAGAGTTATCTCACCTCTCTAATGAGTGGTATTTTTTCCTTGGCCTTATACAGTTCTTAAATTCAAAATAGGAAAGGTGGATACAAGATAGCACAGCAGCAGGAAGAAGTACAGTGAGTCTACCCTAAAACTCACTCAAACAGAACTAGAAGATGCACTAGATCAGATCTTGAGCAGGAAATCTAAGCATTTCATACTAAATGACAAGAGCTGAATATAAACCCTAAATTTCAAATATGGGAGTTAATAACAATGTAAAACTGGAAACACAAATGAAAAAGTATAAAGCACTAAAAAGGATAAATTATGGGAGGATGATAAATATGTCCCCACTGATCCCTAGAGTCATACAGAGACTCTAATGAAACAGAGGGCCTAGAGTGTTCCTTCTATGTCTCATTATTTTAAAAGAGGGTGGAAAGAGCAGGGAAGAAAAGGAGAATGAGTAGGAGAGGGAGAAACAAAGAAAATTATAATCAAGGTACACTGACACATAAACAAGTAAGAAAATGGATTGGGAGAGCAGCTGTATCTCAAAATGAGAGGGAAAGGGAGAAGGAGAGGGAGAAACAGAGAGAGGAGAAGGAGAGAGGGAGGAGATGGCAAAGCAGGAAGAGGCAGAGGCGGGAAAGACAGAGAGGGAGAGAGAGACAGAGACAGACAGAGAGAGACAGAGAGAGAGAATTAAGTATAGAAGTATAGAAATGCATTTCTCTGAGCAGGGAAATGCGAGTAGAAGAGGAAAGGCAGAATTTAAGAGAAAGTAGATTAAGAGAGAAAGTAGGGATTACTCATGAGCAAAACAACCTGTAGCAAAGAATGTACAAAAGCATCTATAGAATTTTTTGAGGTGGCAAAAAAATGGGAATCTGAGGGAGTGCTGATCAATTAAGGAATAACTGAACAAGGTATGGAATACAAAAGTAATGACATCCGTTGGAATCCTTGGAACTGAAGTAGAGGAGACTCTCCTGCTATCATTGCTACTGCCACCACTGCCGATGCTGCCATCCGTGCCCCTTTGGCTTTGGACTTCTCAGAGTCGTCACCGTATTGAATAGCTATGGAGGAATGAATAAAAATAGAGAAAACTGATGATGGACGGAAAGCAGTGACTTGCTTGAGCTCTTCCTCAAACCCCTCCAAATACCTAAAAAAATGGCTTTAAATGAATTCTAAAGCAGCAGAACCCACAAAAAGACAGAGTGAAACTAATTTCCAGCCAAAGACAGCCTGGATGGTTGATCAGAAAGGCATATTGCGCCGGGCAGGGAGAGGAACGCAGTTTGGCGTGGGCGCACAGGCCACAGTGACCCTGGAGCAGGCCTCAGAGGACTGAATCACAGGCAGTTGTGGTGGTTTCCAGACTTCTCACCCCATGAATGCCAAAGACAACTTGGAAGGTCAGTGGGAAAAGTCTGTCACTGCAGTGAGAGAGGAGCTAGGTCTCAACCACAAGTCTTGAGTGTGGCCCAGGGCTGTTCCCTGAGCTTTCTGCCCACAGAATGAGGGGGAATCACATGGCTGATCAGAGAGAGATTGCAGGGTTCTCTTTCCCAGTGCTGAGGCATGAGGCTCTTGCTTTGCCCATGCTTGGATCTGGGTCACAGTTCTGAGGGGTGGTCCTGGGGCGAGAAGGAGTGCAGGTGTGGAGCTTGTTGTAGCAGTGGAGAGAAAACACCTCGCTTCTTATCATAGCACCTTGGAAGAACTGAAAATTTTCAGATCCCTAGAAGTATCTCTGAAAACAGCTGTACAAACCCCCAAAGCTTGGGACAGTACATTCTCTACATTGGAAGCAGACTTTTACCTTCACAAAGAGTTTAAAACTCAAGTAATTGGCTGAGATCATGAGTAAGCAGTGCAAAAAAAGAGACAGACTATATTATCTTACTTTGGTGACAAAGAAGAGCAAAACATACAACCAGAAGAAGAAAACAAAGTCAAAGCTCCTACATCCAAAGCCTCCAAGAAAAATATGAATCAGTCCCAGGCCTTGGAAGAGCTCAGAAGGGATTTTGAGAAGCAAGTAAGAGAAGTAGAGGAAAAACTGAAAGTGATGCAAGAAAACCATGAAAAACAAGTCAACAGCTTGCTAAAGGAGACCCCAAAAAATACCAAAGAAAATAACACCTTAAAAAATAGCCTAAACCAAACGGCAAAAGAGGTCCAGAAAGCCAATGAGGAGAAGAATGCCCTGAACAGCAAAATTGGCCAAATGGAAAAGGAAGTCCAAAAGATTACTGAAGAAAATACTTCCTTAAAAATTAGAATAGAGCAATTGGAAGCTAGTGACTTTATGAGAAATCAAGACACTGTAAAACAAATCCAAAAGAATGAAAAGTTCAAAAACAATGTGAAACATCTCATTGGAAGAACAACTGACCTGGAAAATAGATCCAGGAGAGAGAATTTAAAAATTATTGCACTATCTGAAACTCATGATCAAAAAAAGAGCCAAGACGTCATCTTTCAAGAAATTATATAGAAAAACTGTCCTGATATTTTAGAACCAGAGGGCAAAATAGAAATTGAAAGAATCCACCAATCTCCTCCAGAAAGAGATCCTCAAAGGAACACTCCTAGGAATATTGCAGCCAAATTCCAGAATTCCCAGGTCAAGGAGAAAACATTACAAGCAGCCAGAAAGAAACAATTCAAGTGTTGTGGAAACACAATCAGGATAACACAAGATTTAGCTGCTTCTACATTAAGGGACTGCAGGGCATGGAACATAATATTGAGGAGGGCAAAGGAGATAGGATTACAACCAAGAATCACCTACCCAGCAAAACTGAGTATAATCCTGCAGGGGGAAAAATGGTCATTTAGTAAAACAGAGGACTTTCAAGCATTCTTGATGAAAAGACCAGAGCTGAAAAGAAAATTTGATTTTCAAATACAAGACTCAAGTGGAACATGAAGGGGTAAACAGGAAAGAGAAAATCATAAGAGACTTATTATGGTTGAACTGTTTACATCCCTGCATGGAAAGATGACATTTGTAACTCATGAGACCTTTGTCAGTATTAGGGTAGTTGGAGGGAAAAAATTATATGTCCGTATATAGATAGAGAGATAGATAGATAGATAGACAGATAGACAGACAGATAGAGGGCACAGGGTTAGTTGAAAATGAAGGGGTCATATCAGGAGAATAAAACTAAGTGGTGAGAGAGGATTATACTAGGAGAAAGAGAAAGGGAGAGGTAGAACAGGGTAAATTATCTCACAAAAAAAAACAGAGAACAAAAGACTCTTACAGTGGAGGGGCAAGAGGGGAAGGTGAGAGGGAATGAATGAATCTTATTCTCATAGGATTTGACTTAAGGAGGGAATAACATGCACACTCAATTGGGTATGGCAATCTGTCTTGCCCTACAGGAAAATGGTGGGGGGAAGGCAACAAGAGAGCAGGGGGATGATAGAGAGGAGGGCAGATTGAGAAAGGGGGCAATCAGAAGCAAAAACTTCTGAGGTGGGACAGGGTCAAAAGAAAGAATAGAATAAATGGGGGGGCAGATAGGATTAAGGGAAATAGAGTTAATTTTTCACAGAATGTCTACTATGCAAGTGTTTTGCATAACTGCACATATATAAGCTATATTTAGTTGTTTGCCTTATCAATGAGGTTGGGTGTGGAGGGAGGAAGGGAGAAAATTTGGAAAACAAAGTTTTAAAAACACATGTTTAAAAAATGTTTTCACATGCAACTGGGAAATAAGAAATACAGGAAATGGGGTACAGAAATCCATCCTGCCCTCCAGGAAAACTAAAGGCGAAGGGGTAAGAGATGGAGGGGGAGAAATAGAAGGAAGGCACACTAGAGGAAGGGTTATTCAGAATGCATGCCATCTTTGGGTGGGGGAGGGGCGAGATGGAGTGAAAATTTGGATCTCAAAATCTTCTGGAAGTAAATGTTGAAAACAAAAAAATAAAAATCACCATTAAAAAATGAATGAATGAATGAATGAATGAATGGATAAATAAATAAAGAAAGAAGTACACAGAGGGGCAGCTAGGTGTTGCAGTGGATAAAGCACTGGCTCTGGAGTCAGGAGGATCTGAGTTCAAATTCAGTCTCAAACATTTGACACTTGCTATCTGTGTGACCCTAGGCAAGTCACTTAACCCCATTGCTTAGCAAAAAAAAAAAAAAAGAGTAAGCAGAGAAGGTGGAGCCAAGATGGCAAAGAGATGCCAGGAAGTTGCCTGAGCTTTCCCCAGTTTCCCTCAGAAACAACATTAAATCAAGTCTCTAAACAGATTCTGGAGCAACAGAACCAACAAAAAGGAGTGAAACAATTTTCCAGCTTAAAGTAACTTACAAGGACTTCTGAAAAGGTCTCTTTCCCCTTGGCTAAAAGGGGAGCACAGCCCAGCACAATTGATGTTCAGACAAGCCAATAGGAGGCTCTTAGGCACAGAACAGATCAGCCACCCAGGCCCCTTGGTCCTGGCTCAGGAGGCTAGTGTAATAGCAAGCCAGCTGTGACGTCACTGGCCCTAGTACAGAAGGCAACTTGACAGCCCTGGAAACCAGGCAACAACAGGTGTGACTTGGCCCCACCACCACAGCACAGTGAGCAAACTGCCCAGCACGCAAAGCCAGAGACCAGGTCCTTGTGTCCCTGCACAAGAAGCTTGGGACAGTGCCCCCGGGCCACAGGAGGAGGGCTCAACTTTAAAAGTACAATATAGGTGGAAGAAATGAGCAAGAAGCAAAAAAGAACCTTGACCATAGAAAATTACTACGGTGACAGGGAAGATCAAAACACAAACTCAGAAAAGGACAACACTGTCAATATACCTACATCCAAAATCTTAAAGGGGAATATAAATTGGTCACAAGACCAAAAAGCCTTCTTGGAAGAGCTCAAAAAAGATTTTAAAATTCAAATAAGAGAAGTAGAATGACAACTGGGAAAAGAAATGAGAGGTATGCAAGAGAGAGTCAACAACTTGGAAAATAAAGGACAAATACTGACTGGAGAAAACAATTCATTAAAAAACACAGTTGGCCAAATGGAAGAAAAAAAATGACTGAAGAAAACGGCTCTTTAAAAAGTAGACTTAGGCTTCACATGGCGAAGTGGAGGATGCAGGCACTTTGGGGAAGGGCTGCATTGGCTAGTGTCGCTGCTTGGAAGATGTGAACTGTTAAAACTCATTTGCCATAGGAACAGGCAGGCACTGAGAGTTCCTTTGGCTGAGGGCTTCGAAGGCCTTGGAAAACTAAAAGTGGCTTTAAGATTTTGCAGTATCAGGTAGGAAAAATACAAGCTGGGGTGATCTGATTCTGAGACACCTCCAAAAACCTTTAACCCACTGCTGTAAAATTCACAAGGTGTGACCATTACATAAGACTAGTTTTTATCATCTGACTTGTGGAAGCAGAGAAGTGACCCTAGTGAAACATGCTTCACTTTTAAGAAAAAAATATTTTCATGGTCCCTGAACCAGTATTGTAGTTATAGAGTGTAGAAAAGCATGCTTCCTGTTGGTGTAAAAATGAATGACCATTACTTAGAACAAAGAATTCATATCAAACTTTGTATAAAGCTAAACAAATATGCCAGTGAGACATGTTAAAATGTTAAAAGAAGCTTACGGGGATGAAGTAATGTCGAGAGCAAGAGTTTTTGACTGGCACAAAAGGTTTAAGGAAGGCAGGGATGATGTTCATGATGATGCACAGAGTGGACGCCAAATCACCCACAAGACCAATGAAAATGTTGCAAAGGTTAGAGATTTGGTTTGTTCAAATTGTCAATTAACTGTAAGAATGATGGCTGAAAAGTTATCTTTAGATAAAGAGACAGAATTATTTTGAAGGAGAATTTGAATATGAGAAAACTTTCTGGGAAGACTGTGTCTTGTACAGCTTCATCCTGAACAAACTATCCCCCTTTTCTTACTTAGGCACAATTTATCCTTGGTATATAACAAATAGCCTTTGCAAACAAATCTTTGCAACTATAGTTGTATGCATGTCTGTGTACATATGTTATATTAGACTGCAGCCTTTCCAAGAACTGGTAGAGATGTAATAATTCC